GCAAGAATGGCAGATACCATCATCTGTTTGCCTGTTTAAAAGAAAATGGGTGGGGGGAAGGGAATGTGGTTAGTATCATGTGTATTTACTCTCCAACAGCAACAAAGAGAAAAAAATCCACTATAACTTCAATTAAACAGCATCTCTCTCATTTGAAATCATAAAGCCAGTTAGTAGAACTAAAGAACTTTAAAAAATGCAGTGTTCCTTTTGATACTTTAAATGATTAAGCTCAATAAAGGGCATTATAGCCACGCAGAGCGCTTTACCTGCATGTTTCTGTAAATCCAAGCCGTAAACATGGTCATATTTCCATAAACTCCAGGTCTATTGCGAGTGGCACAGCCAGTTCCCCAGCTTGTGTCACCAACTAGCCACCACACAGAGTCCTTCGCTGTTACTAAAGGGCCTCCACTGTCACCCTGAACACAAAAAAACAAGCCACAAGCGTGCTATTAATGAACAAGTGTAACAAGAAGTGGACACAGGCACCAAAGATGGGAATGAGTGAATAAAAAGACAAATCAACCCCAGCCCTCTCTCTTGAAGAATTTGCAACACAATGGGACTCAGAAGCCTGACTGCAATGTTCAGTGCCATAGCAATGATATTTGGCGCCTGAGGAAAAGCATGCAGTGGCAGTCTGCCCTCATACCACGCACAGATCGGGGGGGGGGGCAGCACATGCCCCCCATGCCTGCCCAGGAGTGCACGCAGCAGCAGAAGTCGCCCATGCCCCGCCCCCCCTGTCCTCCCAAACGAGGTGCTCACGGCTCTGCCCCGCGCCCTGCCCCGGCTGCGAAGCGCCTGTTGGCGCTCCTTTGCTTTAGCACCCAAGGCAGTTGCCCCACTCACCCCCATCCCCTCAACCCCTTTGCTATGGCACTGGCAATGTTGCAAAGAAAGGTCAGCGAGTTTTCTTTTTTGTAAGACTTGTTCATAGCCACTACCATAATGCCCTTGCTAGCAGATGTTCAAAAAAAAAGCTGTTAGTAATATGAGCGGTGTTATTACCTGACAGGAATCAATTAGTCCTTCTAGATATCCAGCACATATCATAGTAGGCAAAATGAGGCCATTATAGACTAACCCAGCATTACATCTGGAAGGCTCTATCAAAGGCACCATCACAGCATTCAAAAAATTTGAGGTTTTACCTAAAGTTGGAAAATGCAGATGCATAAAGGAACTGGAGCAAATGGGAAAAAGCCAGAGTAGTTTGCAATGGCACCCCTGATCAAAAACAAGTCAATACTGCTTTGGGATGCGTGCTGAAGTTCACAGTTCAATATAACAAAAAACTGAAGAAATTTTCAGTGTCCCTCTAAGAGGAGGAGAATTTATTTCAACCAGTTGTACACATACAGCTGCCTCACAGCTGACACCCCATGATGTTATCTACAGGGCTATAGAAGGGAGTGGGCCTACAAAGATGGAGAGGCAAACCCCTGCAGCAACTCCAAGCAACCTCATGATTAGGTAAGGCAGCGGGGGAATCAGCTGCCTCCTCCTCCCCCATCACTACCCAAGATCTTCTATGCCCAAGAAGCTTCACTTCTCCCTTTGAATCATGCTGCAGTGACACTGCTGTCTCAGCCTTAAGATGGGAAGAGCAGGAGGGTATTCAGCCTAGAGTTTATACCATGCTGACCATATCCCCATCAAATACAGCTCACACATGAAGGAACTCCTGTAGAGTGCACGCTGCTACGCCATCACAAAAGTAGAGCCCATGGTCACTAAAGCCTCTGCTGATAACACAGGGACTGAGAAGATTTCTATTGCTACACTACCAAGATTATTTTCCCCTCTCTATTATAATCCTTATACCCCAATATAAACATTAGCTGAATTTGCAAATACGCATTACAAGCGTCTCCACACTAGCAGAAATGTTGACTCAGCAAACTGTTACTGTGTGTACGGCCATATCTGCATAGCAAAAATGGCCCTGGCCAGCAGCACCCTCAGAAGCATGAGGAAGCTGGGCTAAGCAGACTTCCCTCTAAACTGTATGCAGTGCAGCCACATCTACCTGAGGCAAGCAAGCTGGTCTTGTCACTTGGCAATGCTATTTATTTGACTGGACATAAAATGAAAGCAAACTAGTTCTTTGTCCCCACCTTTTAGGTATGCACATCTTACCTCCTTGTTGTAGGGCTCCCCATCCAGATATCCAGCATGACTGATTAGGCTGGAACATCATTCCAGGGTTTGGCAGACAAATTGGTGCTACAAAATCTGTGAAATAAGAACATGGCCATAATCAGTAAACCTAGATGAGTGAACATGAATAAAGATTCAACAGAAAGTTGTCTGAACAGGACAAGAAACACCTGGATTGAATACAAGAGAAACTGAGGGCTCCTATGCATTTGCAAGGAGCCTGCTCGCTCCAGCAGCCATCACGTGCATCAGTGTCCCTGTGCTGAAAAATGCTGGTGAGGCATTTTAAACTAAAGCTTGTTCAACATAGGTGGAGGAAGAAAAAAAACTGGTCAACTGAGCAAGCATGCACACATGCCCACCGCCCACCCCACCCTCCCTGGAAAAGTCTGAGGGGGAGGGGAAAGGGCCACAGGCTGGGGGGCAGGGAGGAGAGGAGCGGCATTTCCCTGCTCCAATTGCCTCCCAGCCCTGACCGCATCAGCCCCAGCTGCCGCACTGGTCCAAGCGCCGGCCCCAGCTGCCTCCCCATCCCGGCCCCAGTGGTCTCGATCTGCTCTCCGTCCCCACCAGCCCATGGAAATAAAAGAAACCTAAATTAAAAGAAACTTACCTGCCTGTGGCTGGGCCAGCTGCGAGCGCGCAGGGGAGCCGAGTGTGCGCACCCCTCCCCACCAGCAGCCAGGCTGCTCTAAGGCAATGCCTGCTGCTGCCCTGTGTTTGGGGGGGCTAAGCCCCATTAGTCCCCCGCTTCCACCGCCTATGTTGTTCAATGAATTTTAGTTCAAAGTGCCCCCCTGCCATTTTTCAGTGCAGGGATGCTGATACATGTGACACTCTGGGTGCTAGTAATTAGCGTGGCTCTTGGAGCTGCACTAATTAAAGCACCCCTCGCACCTCCTGGAGCATGTGTATAAATGCCCCAGGAGCCCATATTAGCACTTCCTCATGTGAGGGCTCCTTCCCTGTACTTCAGTTTCCTAGCAAATAGGTGTTGTGGTCATGAAGACTGTCAGGTGGAGAGCTCTGTCAGCCGCTCCATCCAAGTTTGGTACAAATGGCAGAAGGGTAGGCCTCCTACCTGTTTCTCAGTTTTGAGTTGAACATCTTGGGGGATGGATATAGCCAGTCAAGCAGCCATTACTTGTTTAATTACTTAAGAGGTTAGACACAGATCTTTGGACAGATATTATTTTTGGGAAGGGCAGAGAGAATGACAGAGACAAGAGACATTTTTTTTCCCCCCCGAGACATGGCTTGAGGGCACAACTCAGTTAAAAACAGAATAGCTTACTTGGGCACCAAATATTTCTTTGCAGATCATATTAAAAGTAAGTGCGACACTTCCATTGTAAATTCCAAATGGATTGTGCACTAGGCTGACTAGCACGGAAGTGTGCTAAACAAGACCATTCACATGCTATTCTTGGCAAACTGACTTGCCTCCCTCCAAGCAGCAAGGCAAAACTCTTTTATGTTATTTTCACCTAGTCTTATGCACCACTTTTCATCAGTGCATCCTTCTAGAATGTATTTAAATTTCAGGTAACTTAAACACTGTTTCATTGGCCTTTATCTAGGATGCTGGAGTAGAACGTGTCATTGCCATAATGGTTCCTCAGGCATCCCTCCTTGGGTTTGGACTATAATACTTCTTCCAGCTGTCAAACAGCAATTTCACATTTTAAGAAGGGCTTATAACTGTTCTGCACTTTTTGCTACAGTGTGGCAATCTGCAACTGTGCACAGTTCATGCAGGAACTGGAATAGTTCTTCATGTCTCCCCAATATTTTCTTCTTGCAAACTTTGAAAGGCCTTGATTTAACCTATTGCATATACTTCAGTTTAGAGTGAGGTCATTTCCATCACTGTTGAGTTTATATTTAAAAAGGAATTATTTTTTCTTATTTCATCTACTGTTTTATTGCATACGAACTATATATTGTTTATGGCAAAAACTAGGACATCTCAAACACTGATGGATTATTACAGAAGTTGTATGCATTAAGTTCTGAGAGTTTCACTAAATCCTTTTACTGTTTTTTGTGCCAAAAGAAAAAAAGGGACTTCATATTATGTGCATAAGGCTTGTGTGCTGCAACACATTCTAGATTGCATAGGAGGCTCTTGAAAGGTATAGGATGGTAACTGATACAATGAGCAGGTCATCAACATGTAGCATAGACTGGGTTTCTCATTCATTTAAAAAAAAAAAAAAAAAAAAAGATAGTCTTCTGGAAAAACATTCCTTTTTACACTTATGACCTACCAGCTCTTGGGGAAGAGGCATGCTGTAGTTGCATCCCTGCCTTACCCTCTACTTTCTTGCCTTTCTACATAACTCATGCCTTCACTGCATATCTTATTTTGTTGAATTAAATATTCATTTTTGAAGGTTACATGTTCAAGTCTACACTGAACAGGGAAGAGGGTATTCTACAAGTGGCCTAAAGCAGTGTAATTAGGGTAGGGTGGCAGGGGCCAGCAGCCCAGGTGCTGACAGGGATAGGGAGTTGGGGGGGGAAAAAAAAACAGCTTTTGTCCTGGCCATGCAATTGTGGCAGCCACAGCAACAGGAAGTCCCTGTGTGTGGTAGCTGCCCCAAGCACTCAGCTGCATTGTTATGCCGCTGGTAACCAGGGATGTTTGAAAATGGGGGAGTTACTACAGCTTTAAGATTTTACTTTCAACAACGACAGAATACATACTTGTAAAACTCACTGATGTCTGTAACTTCATAAGGGCAACATCATTGTCTTTAGTCTCTGTATTGTAATTTGGATGTGGAATTATTTTCTGGACTCTGTGTCCGCTTCTCAGACGCATTTCATCCTGTGTTAGAATCCCAGCAAAAACTTTCCAGTAAGATGGATCTGCAAGCTGTCTAGAAAGAAAAAGTAAGGGTAGATTATTCATTATTGTAGTAAACAAAGTGCATCAACTCATTTGGAGCACCAATGTTATTTCAAATTTCAGGGGGGATTCTCCCCTTCCCTTTTTTTTTTTTTTTTTGCAAGCTGGCAAGCACCTGCATTGAACAGTAAATAATGACCTAGGACATCTATTTTTCCCCAGTCTCTCCTTGGCTTGCTTATTTAAACTTGCCAACCAAGTATTAACCATTTGATTTATAATTGCAAATAATGTTTGAAAGATTGGGGGGGGGCGAGAATCAAAAGATAATAGAAAGCCAGGTTTTATGCAGTTATTGCAGATATGCCTGAGAAGGCACAGACAACAATTTAGGGAGATGGTCACACTTTTGAAGTCATGTTGCCAGTGCGCAGACTGATAATGAAAACAGAAGACAATATAGTGAATACTGGAAAGACATATATCAAATAGTTATCCTATTTTAAAGACTTGTTTTGTATACTGCTTATATAGTGCTATATTCTGCAACTTCATTCAGACTGTCTAAAACCAGTGGAAGATTGTATTACTAACTTCAGGATCAGGCAGTTCCTCTGCAGATAGTCTCATGTTTCAGTAGGCCTGCATATCTTCATAGGCACTCCCCAAAGAATAGGACAGTATAAGCCACCTACTCCTACACCTGGTGAAGTTTAATATCTACAAAATCTTCAGTGTTTTGCATAGCACAAATAGGAACTTAAAATTAGCTAGAGTCGCCATACGAGTGAGTTCTTGCATTACAAGCCAAGTAGAAAATTAAGACTTACAAGCAGTTTCTATATGGATTACTTACTAATCTAATTGCTAAGGCTTTCTCTCCACTACTAGCCCACCTAGAACAAAAAATACAAAAAGACTGACTCTTTTTCACTCTTGTTTAAACCAGGATAAATAAATAAAAAACACAAGCAATATTGTTTTCCTGGCTTCACTTCAGAGACTGAGCATTTCCAGGTAGTCAGCTGTCCTTGTTGGCCATTACAAGAATTACTAAGTGGCTAAACTCAGGATGTGTTTTACCCCTGAATATAATTTTTGGTGCCTCAAATGCTGTTTATGTTTTGTTTCTATAGGCTGTTATTTAATGAAGTGTACTGAAAAGTAAAATTTAACAAGTCTTTGGTAGATTGTATTAACTGAAGTTAGCACTGTTCTTCATGCATTACATTTGTTATCTATATATTTCACATTAATCTGATCCCCCAACCCAAACAGTCACACCTCCTGCCATGCCACACATGCCTTGCAGGATGTATGATTTGTGGATCAGATCCCAGCTGTGCCATACTTGCCAGCACAAGGTGAGCCTGGGATCATGAGCCTGGGCTCCCCCTGCATCAGCAAGTTGAAAGCTGGGTACCCAACAATCGGCCGATGGTCAGCTTGGCCAGGGGGCCACACTGGGGTCTGGAACCATCTCTGATGCAGTCCCTAATGAACTGACAAAACCAGATGACTATTGGTCCAGTTAAATCCTGGCCAGTGCTGCTTGGGGAGGGGTTTAAAGTCCTGAGCAGGTTAAGTTCTTTGGCTATCCCCCTGACCCAGCCTCCAGGTGGGCCAGAAATCAGGTGACTGCTGGCAACACACTAACATTTAGGCACCCTACAAATGAGCCATAAAAATATCTACATTACACGTAGAATATTTTTATGGTTTGCTCCCCATTTTGAGGTGCCTTCAATTGGTAGCACATGTAGCACCCTTCCTATTTATGCCGTGATTAATACATTAACTGCAGCATAAATGTAATGTGTAGAAGGGACCCAAGTCCTTTTTACTTTCTATATGTATTTGCATTGCTCGGGTATACATGGCAAAATTTAACTTTCTCCATTTCCTCAAGTCACCGTGTCCACCATTCCAAAAGCCTATAACCAATGATAGCTTGTTCAGTGCTATAAGTCACTGATTTTTGGAACTCAATTAATACAATACAATTGCTCAGGACTTACCCTTCCACACAGTGTGCTGCTGTCACTACCCATTCGGGGGTGATGAGGGAGCCTCCGCATACATGAGTGTTCTGGATATGAAGGCTGACCTGCCATGGCCACTGCCCAAGTGATGCGGCACTTCCACCCACAATTCTGCCTTTAGGCATCAGGTTGTTTCTGGAATAGCCACACTCTGAAAATATAGGGGGTTGTTAAAGTACAACAAAGAGTGTAAAGAGAACTTCTTCCCCACTGTCACGTCTTCCCCATCAAGGTTGCCAACTGCGAGTCTCAGGATTATGATCACACAAAACACCACTGGATTTTCTTATTAATTTTTTGTTCTCGCCATCAGCAAACAAACTAGAGAACCTAGACCCTTGCAGCCTGAAACTATTTGTTACTGTTAAACTGCTGTTTAAATGCATTACAACTCTCTGGTTGGGGCTGTGGTGACTGCCATCTCTAACATTTCAGACCCTGCTTAAAATTTGAAGGGTCCAAGACAGTAGCAGACTCCTAATTTTCCTTAAATGATTCACCCACTAGAGGGCAGCATAGATCCATGCCAGAACCCATGCGGCCCATTTGCCTTTTGTTTCTTAGTTGTCTGTCCATAAGGAAACAAGACGTCACCTAACGAAGTGTGCTGTGGCACAGCTGATCCATTTCATTGGGTGCAACACATGTTGCTCCTTGTTGGTGCAGGACAAGAGGCAGCGTGATCTCCCCGCTTCCTCTGCTCAGCCAGACCTGCTGGCCCCCACCCCAGGATCACGTAGGGGACCTGGTCTGGCAAAACTGGGAGGGACATTCCCCTGCTCAGCCAGACTTGGTCCTGCAATGGCCAGAGACAGATCTGGCTGAGCAGGGAATCCGACTTCTCTGCTTATGGAAAGGCACTGGAGATTTTGCAAATGAGAAAAGTAGGCAGGTGCTCCAAGCCTTGAGGGTCTCTTAAGGACCGAGAGCATTTGCTCAGAGTGGCTGGAGAGTATGAGCAGATCACTTTCTGCTCTCCCACCACAAAGCTAATAGATGTCTGCCACAATAAAGCAGCAGTGTCTAATACTACCTTCTGTTGCGCCACTGATTTTCCTTTGATGTGGCACAACAAAAGGTAGCAACATCCATTAGCTCACCATTTGGACTGCCACAAAAATTTTTATGGGAGCACAAATGAAACGTTATGCAACATCTGTTTCCACCCCAATTTGGTAATTTTTTAATGGAAAGCAGGGTTGATTTTGCACCTTATAGATTAACCGAAGTAAATGATAGGTATCAAAGTGTGTGTGATCTACTTTGGTTAGTCTATAAGGTGCAAATCCCCCCTCCCTGATGACTGACTTCAAACTAAACATGGCTAACTTTTTTATTACCTGTCTGGGCCAGCAATCCCTCACCTCCTTTCTACAGACTCATAGGTTCAAATTCCACATTAATGGTCCCTCACATCATTCCAAGAGCAGGAAATATACTAAGCATATAGGTTGCTGAGGGGACCAGAAACAGAGGAGGTGGCAACCCACACTCAGCAGAACTGCAGGGATCCCTTTTAGCCATCAGCATTCAGAAGGGAGTGGGGGAGAACGAGAGCTAGGGGTAAAAATGGGGCTAGTCACACCCTCTCCCTACAAATGTTTAGTCCAAATTTTTAAATCAGAACTATTGCTTTTGGCATGTTAATAATATACCTGGCAAACCAGAGGACTGTTCTCCCTTCCCACTCAGTAAAGTTTTACCCAAAATGCTTCCTTTAAAAATAAAACACCGATACAGAGATAAAAAGACAATTAGTCCTATGCCATTTTATTAAAAGAGTTGGGAAAGGGTCTCTATTCCACCAAACTTGGAGGCAGGGGAGGTGGATGTATAGCAGTATGACTTTTGCTTATTGTTTCTAAATGATTAATAGCAACTAAAGGGTGGCAAGTGGGGAGAAGGCAAGAATAAGTACAAATGTATGCATTTATACCTATGCCATATTCATGGTCTTGCTCTAGATCCCATAAAAGAGAAGCACAGCTCCCCACTTAAGAGGCTGAACAGCCAGAAGAATTGTATGGACAAAAGATACTGCATATCTTTGAAGTACCACACTTACAGATAAGCCTCTCCGTCGCTAGTTGTTTGCCAAGGAATAGAGTGTCCTTATGAAATTGTATCAATAGATACAGAAAGCAACCTGAAGAAGGCTGTGTTCCCAAAACCTTATCTAAATACCACCCCCAACTACAGAATTAGTCTAATAAAAGATATCACCAAAATAAATCTCACATATTTCCTGGACCATCTCAGCTATATTACTCTAACCCCTAATAAACAGATAAAAGATATTTTATATAGAATAGGGCACTTTACCATGGGGGGCACAGGATGGAAATCAAACCCAGTTATGGGAATCAAACCCAGTTATAAGCAGAACCAAAGAGAAAATTCTCCCACCACCACCACCACCAGTCTCTCCAGAAAGGAAGCATCATCTGGGTGACAAAAATCCACACACAGCCTTACAAAAAGCTTGAGAGAAAAATGATTCAGTGATAAGAAGAGATTAAGAAATTTGCACTGTGGGCCGGTTATTGCTTAAGTGTAATGCGTGCATGAGCAATGTTACTTGGACTTTCCCCCAAAACATATGATACTGGACTCTGGTATTCAACCTAGAATCCAGACATACAGGTCTAACCTTATATGACAACTGCCAAACAAGACTAATCACAAGCAATTCATTCCAAAGGCTGGTATAGAATCATGGGGTTGGAAGGGTCATCTGGTCCAACCCCCTGCACAGATACAGGGACGATACTCCTAAATCATCCATGACCACTACTTACTTACCCAGCATCCTTTTGGAAACCTCTTGTGAAGGAGATTTCACAGCTCCCCCAGACACTCTATGTCACTATCTCACTGTTTTAACAATAAGAAAGTTTTCCCCGTATATCTAATCTTAGATCTACTTTGCTGCAAAATTGGAAGTCATTGCTTCAAGTACTGCTCTCTACAGCAGTTCTCCCACTTCTTAAATAGCAGCTTTTCAGATATTTGAAAACCGCTATCATGTCCTCCACTTTAATCACCTTTTCTGTAAGCTAAAATATGACTTGTTCTCTCATCCTTTCCTCATACAGATTGAATTTCAACCCCTTTGTTGCCTGCCTTTGGACTTTCCCTAACTTTTCCACATCTTTCAAATATGGAGCCCAGAACCATACACAATACAGTAGATGTGATCTAACCAGTACAG